GTGTGTGGAGAATAGATCATTTGAATTCTAGATCCTTTACATATTCAAATGTCCAGTGATACAGTTTTGGAACATACAGGAAAATGTTGGCTCTTTGGGAAATTGGGAAAATTTGTGATCAATGTTTGTAATTTTTTTTTAAAAGAGTATTTTGTAAATGATGCAAGGAGTGCTCCTGTGGTTTAAAACCTGCAATCTCTTTTTAAAGTTGAGTGATTTTGCTCATGTTATAATTATTCAGCAGTTTGTATTAAGTGTCTGAACTGTTTAGACACTTCCTTTGATATTTGACTAGTTTTCCTGTGGGCACTACAGACACATTTGATTGCAAGACAAACAGTTTGTACCTGATGAGGGTTAGAGTATCTTCTGTGATAGCAGGTGTGTTCTCTTATAGCACATGGTTCCAGAATTACCTATTTTTACTTAGATCTCTAGAATTAAACCCCAATACGTAAATATACTACAACAGCCAAGTGAAACTCACCTTATTTTTCAGCTTTCATTTTTTACATTTCCCTAAAATACAGAATTTGAGAACCATAGAACAGTGTTCTATGTTCAGTTTATTTGTTTTTAGTTTCCAGTTGCAACTAATTAAATCAGTGCTTTACTCTTAATTACTCTAAATGATTTACAATAATTTAAATGTAATAATTTAAGTAAAAATAAAAGCTTAGAAGATCAGTAATGGTTTCCTATTTTTCCCTTCTTAATGTATTCAAATCCAAGCCTCTCAAAAATTAAGTTAATTTTTAAGGGTGTAATTGGATCTGTATTAATTTTGTCATCTTCAAGGGGAAAATGAAGAGAAGTGGACAGGGTTTGCATGTAACAGTAAGCCTTAATTTAAATTTATGTGTATGACCAGGAATTTGTGCAGTGGATGAATTCAAGCATCCACCCTCCTATTTTCTTCTCTCAGGAAGAAAAAAATGCAGCCAATAATAGAAATACAGCAGAAATAAGTATAAGTTCAGGAGATAGTTATTATGGCACGCTCCTAATAGTGGTAAGTAATACTGGGTATAATCACATGTTAACTAAGCTCCCTCCCTTTCAGAATAGGCAAACTGCATCATGGCTTAGCATAATGTGTAAACCAGGTATTGTGAGTTAAAATTAATTGTAGACAATTGCTAAACAAGCCTACTTCAAAGCTAGCATTGTTGCTGTGGTTTGTTTAGCAAAGTTAGGTTTATTCTAAACTGTAGCTTCTGATTTCTATTTTAAAAACAATCTATTACAGTGAAACTGAAGCTTTTACTATTTGTTCTCCATATGCATGTAGAAATCCTGGCACTCCGCATTCGATCACTCCCATTGTGCACATAACCATACATTATAGTTGATTATTAAAATTAATGATGAATGACAATGGCTGAATGCAGCCATTGTTGTTCATCTTTAAAGTCTGATGTTGTTACATTATGGCTAGAAACATTCTTGTAGTAAAGCTGGTGTTTTTATGAAAATATGCTGCAAGGTCTAATATGGTGTCTTAGTCTGTTTCAGCAGAACAGGCACATTTGCTACTTTGGATCTGTGATTACAAAGTCAAAAACAAATCTAGTTTTGCACATGACATTCTACCATAACTCTCCTATTATTATTAGAGGTAGTTTTGTTTTAGGATTAGATAACCTGTAGTCCTCAGAGCACTTCCAAAAGTTGCTACTGAAAAGTAATTTTGAATTAATTAGAAGGATATTTTTTTTAATAGGTGGGGAGGATTAAATACATTTAGTTTTTGTCCTGACACCCATTTCATCATCTTGGTCCATCCATTTTTGAGGTGTAGTCCTGTGCATTACACTCAAAGACTAAGTGTGACCTAGATTGTATAAAATTGCAGACCCTGTTTTATCTGGACTTTACTGTGTTCAAAAACAATCTTAATGCAAAATAATGATTTAAATCTTTCAGCTGATATCAACTGAATTTTAAATATTTATCCTACGTGTTCTACAAAATGGACTTGAATATTCATTCATTCACTGCTTACATGTTCATGTAAGAGATGCAGTGCCTTTAAAGCCTGATATTTGTGCTGCATTTTGTGATGAGTCTGGCAATTAAAGCTCAGGGATAAACTTGTTATCTCCTGCCTTTATAAATTTTTGCATTGGACTTCCTTATTTCAGCAGTATTTGAATGTCTTTGTTGGTATATTCTTGTGCAGCTTTATCAACTTACCTATCACCTATTTTTAAAAAGTGACTGCTGTTTCCCCCTTTGGCCAGAGCAAGAACCTTTTAACTTGGGCTTGGTCCTGAGTTTACAAGCTTAGTGTAATTGGCATCTATGTTTTGAGCTTATTTAGAACTCAGTTTTAATGGATGAAGAAGGAGCAGGCTAACCTCAACTTTAGTGTATCTTTTCCTAGTGCAATATTGCTTACCTGATCATAGGAAAAGATGTGTTCAAAATCCATTGTAGAGGAGACTTTACTGTATAAAATGTAAATACATATGTAAGAATAAGATGAAACAACACTGCGTCCAGATTTAGCATTTTTACTGTACTAAAAAGTATACTATATGTGGAATTTAAGATAGTCTTGACTAAGTCTGAATGAGTTTCATGGATTTATTCTAAGAAATGGCTAAGTAGGGGTCAAGTTCCCCTTTTTTCCCTGGGGTAGCATCTCTATTCACTGTTGGTTGTAAAGTACTCTGCAGTATGGTAAAACTGCCAAGTGGAATGATGAACTTATTATTATTTAAATGATTTTTTTGCACGCAACACTGAGTTCCATGTTTCGGTATGTGAAAGCATCCATTTCCATCTACTGGAGAAAATGTGAATGACATCCTTATTGGTTACAATAACAAAAGCAATCTGCATTTATGCAATAGTTTCTCTAACAGCTTAACATAGTTCACATACATGATCTTATTATCACCCTACTCTTGGAAGGTACCTGGCTGTCTCAGATAAATGTTTTGTTGGCAGATAATTATTCATACTAAGGGTATGATTATTTAAATCAAGTTTCCCATACATAGTGCTTCATAGGTTTACTAAACAATGGTCTAAAATTAATCAAAAGCCATGTTAAATAGAGCTCACTTAAATGTTTCATTCTAACAATCAGAACTTGCATCTCTGTGTTGCATGTGGACATCTTCAATATTTTCCTTTTTAATGTATTCCTACAGAATATTTTTACAAGTACTCTTAAAACAATTTCTGAGGTTATCTATGTTTTGTCTTCCTTTTGTTATTTCCAGTGTTGCTCTTTTTGGGTTCTTTCTTCCTTGGCCCAACCCTACTCCACAAAAAGAAAGAACAAAAGAAACTTTGATGACTATAACTGAAAGCTCAAAGTAAAATCTGATAGTTTCTTGACAGAATGGGGCAGTTTGATATTTATCAAACATACTTAGTTGAGAAATGTTCTTAATTTAGATGGAAAAGGCTTCCTTAATTAAAAGTTAAAGGTAAAAAACATTAACTGCATTAGCACACTATAATAATAATTTTCTGGAATTCTGGCTTACATGTGGATCAGCAGGATTCAGCAAGATGTGTTCCAGTTAGGGTCTCTTGCCAGTAAGAATTGCTGAACAAACCCAGATGGTTCTTGTCATTTGTTTAGTATTATGCACAAACAGGGAGCTCTGTTTCATTTCTTGCAAACTAGAACTGTAAGCCATGGCTATTTATTTGCATATTTATTTATTAGATTATTCATCTTTTCACTAGAACTTTAAAGCAGCATACATAGAACTATCTCCTCAGTTTTTTCCATATAGCAACAACTCTGAGATGGATTCACTGAGGGATAGTATCATATACAAAGTAACTTAGTGTACTGAAGCTGGACTTGAGTCTGGAGCTCTCTGATCCTAATCCAAACTTTAACTATTTTACTACACTGGCACTCAGTGACTTTTCTTAGAATGCAGGGAAAAAACAAGAATTCGTGTGTAACTACAATGGTGCTTAAAAGTTTGTGAACCCTTTTGAATTTTTAGTATTTCTGCAAAAAATGACCTAAAACATGATGATCTTCCAGAGAAGTCCTAAAACTGGATAAAGAGAACCCAGGTAAATAAATGAGTCAAAAACATTGTACTTATTCATTTATTTATTGAGGAAAAATTTGAAGCACCACTGTATATATCAAACCATTATCAGACCTATTTGTGGTTTATTTAGCAATTCCTACTAGCATAATGCTCTTTCTTAATTAAGTAGAAATTCTAAAGAATTCTAACATCCATTTTAATGTGACATCCACAATGAGCATTCTTTTTATAGACTGTCAGATCAGTATAAATATATTAAAATAATTTCATATTAACTATTCTTTTTAAAAAGTATATTTGGCACCTTAAAAATACGATTTGCATGTCATTTTAAATTGTTTTTAATCAGTCATTAGCTACTCTGCCATTCATTACTACACAAGCCCACTTGTGCTCCACAGTTGTCATCAGATACTCACCTGTGTAGCCCCATCATCTTGTTATCATTAAAAACACACACACACATTACAACCTATCAGTTACAAGGTTCAGAGAGTCAAATAATAATAACTCCTTCTTAGGAGGAGTAGCTATTTAAAATATTTGAACACAACAATGAATAGCAGAGCTATACCCAAACTCTTGGTAGCCTCAACCCTTTAAAGAAAAATAAACATCCATTCTCACTACTACAAATGTGGGTTTTTATGAGCTTTGTGGGGTGGGGTGCAGAATCTTTCCCTGTGGCATGTAAAGGTGACTTCCTTTTAACCAACTATACTTTCATAAGATTCAGAGTGGTTACTCAGATATGAATAATCAAGGTCTGTTTTTATTGACATGGAAAGCAGATACCTAAAATTTATATTAGTATCTCTTTAAGTACAATATTAATGGGTGCTACTTATATAAAATACCATTCACTGCAAAAGGAATCTGAGACATAATTATCTGAATTCCATTCTCTGGAGTGAAGACTGTACTGTATAGTCTCATATAATATTATTGTTTGTTTTTTTCTTGTAGTTCAAAAACACAATGACTACCAAGTATTCTTCTATCTGTGGATTGTCTTCTACTTCATTAGCTCCTGCTATACCCTTATCTGGGACTTGAAGATGGATTGGGGTCTTTTTGACAAGAATGCTGGTGAAAATACTTTCCTCCGGGAAGAGATTGTATACCCACAAAAAGTGCGTATATGGGCAGTGTTTATTTGAAAATGCTTATGGGAGACTGAAACTGTTAAGTGTGCATGCTGAAGAGGCCTCCTGCTACTGATTTCTGTTTAAACTGAACATTATCTAGATTGTACAGTGATTGTACAAATGTGCTTTGAAAGAGATAATTAAGCTAAAATAGATTCCACTTTAAAAACCACACATATTTGGAAGATCAATAATAAATAGATATCCACATGAAGAATTAGTACAGAAGGAGCAGCAATATTTGTTCCAATTTTCCTTCCTGCACCTTGGAGGCTGAATATTTAGATCCTCTTGCATTTTCTCTCTGTTTTTGTCTCTCAAGCATGCACAGTCATCCCCCCCGCTCCCCTGCTTCTGAGTGGCATAAAGCAATAACCAGATGCTCTGGAGATGATCCTAAGTTTTGTTTGAACTGATGGGAGCATGTTTGGAATCTAATAATTGGTTATGTTGTGGTTTGGCAAAAAGGGATGTATAATATGCGGAAGTCCTCATGTGCAAGAGACAGCAAGGCATCAAGGATACCAACATAAAATGAAAGTTTACTATATTTCTTGCAGTTATATCACTGTCCAGTAGAAGAGTGTACAATAGAACCAAAAACCAAAAGTATTGTCGTCTTTGATTAATAATGCTCAGATTTTTCTTGCAAGTAGTAGTAGATTGTAGAGTACAAGTATGGTACAGTATGTTTCAAAAGGTCTATGGTTCCATGACAACAGGATATTTGGAAAAGAATATCAAGGTCATTTACTGGCAAACCATCAGAAATGAAACCATTGCTGCCCTTTTAGTTAATGTAATGTTTGTCCTTCAACCAATCCACAGCTAGAACTTTACTCACCTCCTATGATACTGTACTTATATCACATATGAAAGATAATGACCATTTGACTGCACGGGTACCATAGTTAGTGGGCGGAGTCAGCAACTGGAGGACTGGGTAACTGTAGACATTTATTTGGAGGTTGATCAGGTGGATATTATTCCTCAGTATTACAGCTGCCTATGCTGTCTGTTTGTCAGGCCTATTACTACTGTGCCATTGTAGAGGATGTGATTCTACGTTTTGCGTGGACTATCCAGATCTCTCTGACTACCATGGAAATTCACCCTTTTGCTGGTGACATCATTGCTACTGTATTTGCACCACTTGAGGTTTTCCGGTAAGAGGCATCCACTAACAGAATACTTACTAAGCTTTGTAAATTATGACTGCCATTTACCCTCTATAATTAAAAATAATAATATTTTATTCTCCCTCTACATCTGTAGATCAGTATTCTCAGCTGAGCAATCCTTGCAGCATCCAAAACAAATATTCTGTAGCATTTTAAAATTGCAAGCAGAAACCAGAAATCAAAAGAGACATTGGATATGGTCTCTAGCAATCAGGATTTGAGACTTCCATGTTTATAAATATCAGAAATATCCCAGAAGCTAGTTAAGACAATTCTATACTACAGTTAGCAGAGGTTATAAACTATGACATGTATCTATGTAAGTGTAGTTTGCATTTTTTTTACCACAATAAAACTTGGTATTTATATAATGTGGATCATATCTAGATTTAATATTTACCACTTTTGTATTTTACTGCTGTATACAGTTCATCTTCACAGTAATATTTTGAGGCATTTGTGATTAAGTGAGTAAGGGAACTGGGCGTCAGTATCCAAGTTTAGTATATGTTCATATGAACTCATTTTACTGAAAATCTGATCCTTTTTTTCCTCCAGTGTGTCACCTGTTACATTTGCATTATAAAAAAAGAAGCTGTCAAACAATTAAACGTATTGATTAGTCAGTTGGGAAATTAGTGCAGAAGGTTATCCGGTCTTAATTTTCCTTTTTGTCACTCCTTTTGGAAGAAGGGGAAAATTTATTTCCTTTATAAAATATATTTATGCATTAGTCTTAGATCTACATTAATATCTTCAAATCTTTGTTTTAATTGCTTATTCTCCTCCACTTTTCAGGCGGTTTGTGTGGAATTTCTTCCGATTAGAGAATGAGCACCTGAATAACTGTGGTGAGTTCCGAGCTGTCCGGGACATTTCAGTGGCACCACTGAATGCAGATGATCAGACCCTGCTTGAACAGATGATGGACCAGGAGGATGGTGTCCGAAACCGCCAGAAAAACAGAGCTTGGAAGCGTAGCCACAGTGTGTCCTTGCACAGACCACGTCTTGCTTCACAGTACGTGTTACATTATAGCCCAATGAGTTTCTTATTTGATTAGAACAGCTGTCCTCCACATGTTACCCTTCAGATAGATATTCTTGGGGTTGCAACTTCCAGAATTCCCAGCTGAAATGGCCAAAGAGAGTGCTAAATTTTCTGAAGGGCGTGAAATTAGGAGAGGCTAAATTAGACTTGATAGACACGCCTAATATGGGAGAAGTAAAAGAAAACTGGCTGTTGCATCTATTACATCCTACCACATATGAAGCCAGTTTAAACTGCTTTCTGATACCCAGCTTTCCTTAAGGTTAAGAGTTCTTAATGCTTTTTAATTAATACATTTAATTTAATAATTTATTTTTTTTTAATTAACACATGCGCTTAAGTTAAAAGTCAGTGGTACAACTGATACACTGGATTCTCTCTTCCTCAAAGGCTTGTTGGCATTAGATACATTTCAGAGAGTCCTAAATCTATTCCTCCAAATCTTGTGTCATGCTGCCTTTTATCAATCCTTCCTCTACTCAAAAGATTGATATTCCTTTGTTGGGATGGAACCTGGGAGAGATTATTCTCAGTCTCTGTGCAGGATTTGTCTGAAGAGAGTCAGCATTTTGGAAGATGAGGAACATGTTAAATCTTGGGAGGGCGATACGTCATGGTGCTGCCAGTTTTTTTGAAGTAATTGTGTCCCAGAGAACAGACATGGGAGGGCCATATTTTTCTTGGAGCCCCGCAGGTTCCAAGAAATGAGAAATATCTAGTAGACTGAACTTTATTCATGGGCCAGCTGTTCTTTATTCAGGGCATAAGGCATTCTTTTAAGGAGAAGAAATCTGTACTCGATATAAGATGCTTAGAAGGTCATTAAGTTACTAAGTGAAGCTGGCATTATGTTAGATACTAATTCACTGCCTAGTGACAAGAGCAGAATGCACCTAACTTACTTAACTGTAGGAAGGCTAGAATTTGTGATAAGCATGTGATACAGTTTTTGCAAGGGTACTCTTACATTCTTATGATCATTCAATATCCAATTAGATTCAGCTATAAAGATGCATAGTACAATGAGGATAATATAATTTACAAAGCTATATGCAGTATTTATCCATGTTTTGTCCAAAGACCCAATTCTAGTTTAAATCTATTGCCCTGCTCAGTTTATCTCAAAATCTGTTGCATACATACAGCATGGAATTAAGTGTAATAACCTGCAATGCACAGTTCCCAATGAAAGCAACCCCCCTTGACACCACTGTGGATTCAAAGGAAAGTTCATATATTAAAGACTGGTGTGCAGGTCAAGAACATTGCTGAAACTGAAGCCCACATGAAACTGAGCCAAAAGTTACATTTATTTCTTTTCTCCTTGCGCCTCCCCCCTTTCTGTTTCTCAGGTTGTCTTGTGCATGTCACTGATTATCTCTTGGTCTCACGCTGAGAGCTAGATAACAGTCCACCTGTGCCTAACAGCTCTCCCCCCACCAGCCTTAGCATTGTAATGGCAGAAATGAAGCAAGCAAGCTAGCAGGATGGTTGCTTGATTGCGGAGGTTCTGACATTAAGATCATTCTAATATTTCCAGGCATATTGAGCTGAAGCCTGTACACCAAATCTGCATGATCTTTGCATACGTACCAGTTGGTGTGACTCACTACTAATGAGCGATGACTCTAGCTGCAGTAATACCCAGGGGAAGTATTTAGCAGTTGCTGTGATTCCAGCTCCCTCAGGGCTATAACTCTTGTAACAAGGAACCTTCATCAGTTTCTTGCATAAGAGGCGATAACCTCTTGCACAGACTCAAAATCTAACTCAGTCTTCTGATAATCTGTTGAAGCTACCACCTTCTGTTGTTCCCACTGCCATCAGTGGGAGCCTGGGCATTCTGGCTAGATGCCAGGCTAGCTGAAAGATCTTCCCCAACTGGTCTTCAATCATGTCCTCCAATAGCTTGCTGTCTTGTTGTGGATGAGCATATCCCTTGGTTTTAGTTATAGGATTGTTATCATTTATTTATGGCCTTACACAATTATCAATCAAGTGCTGTCAGATTTATAAGAGGTAGGGGCAGTTCTTCCTCTGGGTAAGTGTGTATTTAATTCTAGGCAAGCTGCACTCATGCCATGTTCATCTTTGAGTTATTCCTTCCGCCATTTTGTGCTGGATTATCATATGTCCTTTTTATCTATAGGGGTCTTGACCTGTCACCACATTGATCCACTGCTGTTTTGTTCTTCTATATTCTTCAATAGCATCAGTGTCAACAGAATATGATTTTGCTCAGTTTGGGGGGAAAATTTAAAGGAATAAATCATACCTTTTATTGCATTAACTTACAATTCTCGTCTCAACCACTCCTGCCTCTCCCTTCTCTGTTCAGAGGAGTTGTATATAGCATAATTTGACCTTGAGAGTAATTGAGCTCCATGTTTTATCTCCAGCTGATTATCAGTGTTACGAGCGCATATTCTTTTCTGACCACAGACCTTTCCTACAGCCATAAATTGATTTCTCCATTTCAGTAAAGAGCAAATACAGTTATCTTTAAAAACCCAACCAGGAATAATTTGAAATCACCTCAATAAAAACCCTTTTTATTCTGGTACATCAAAGGCAGTGTACAGCATTAACATTTAATACAATTTATCTTATAGCCATGGTAACTTGGGAGCCATATAATATTTCTCAGATTGCCTTGGTATACCTGAATCACAGGAGCTGGGTAAGAGAATGCATAATTGCCTTCCGGTTATGCATTTCATTCACAACAAGATCATCCTGTTGCAAAATATAG